ATATCACAAAGGTGCAGCAGAATAAAAAAGATCTTTGTCTGTGGTCCTAACACTTGGGCACCTGAGATAGCTTAATGGTGACTCTAAGGTCTATCCCCTAAGTACACAATGCTTTGGGGGGCTTTTTAGATGTGCATGGTGTCCTCTTGAAAATGAGAGGCCACTTGGAGTCATTAAGGACCTCATCCACAGCTTTTTTCCTACTGTTGGGGATCTTAGTCACTGAACTTTGGCCACATTCCAGTCTGGATAATTACACTGGGGCTAGCAAACTTCACCCTCTAGCACCAACTAAATAAAGTATTCCTTTGAACTTGCTGCCATAACCTTTGTTATGCTGCTGTAGGCTCTAAAAGAGCTCTTCTATCCTTGGAATGGCTGTATTTGCAAAAAATCAATAGCCTTGGTGTGACTCTACACTGCCAAGAAGTACATTCCAAAATATCCCTAAGTTAGCTATTTCATTTTTCTCAATATAAAAACTGTTAGATATTTATAGTAATTTCTTCTCCATCCTCCAGGCTTTTACTCTTCACATAAATAAAGACTGAAATATTTATATTATTACACAGAAAGGGAGGGAAGGTATATTAATTTCACAAAATATATCCAGAGTACCTACCCTATGCCTTGCTATGCTGAAGGTCCTCTTCACTGTTCCAGGTGTCACAGGTTGGTTCTATTGTCAGCATAAATGTAAGATTTTTTTCCAATAAAAGAATAAACTTGATTCTCCCTATGCTACCACATTTCTAAGAATCTTAATACATCATCTTCACTCTAAATATGAGTAGACACAAATCTCAAAGAAATACTGTTTAGGCCCACCCTTAAAGGATCTATAGGACTTTCAGTTCCAGGTGCATGTAAGTGTGTACGGAGGTAAACACATTTCTAAAGATGAGAATAGATGCTTTTCTGGCTAGTCTAGAGGTCAGCAAATGGCATGCTGCTTATATAGTTACTTGTTTGCTTATTTTTAGCAATCATCCGATTTGGGTAGGTGAGTGTTTATAGGTTACATGGGTAGAAGCTGACATAAGGAAATTGAAAATGTAACTATCTTTTCTTTAAAGCGACTCTTTACCATATGGGGAAAAAAAAACACAAATTGATTCTGACAATATTCTACCATAAGGACTTAAACAGCAAAAGGAAGAAAGTATAAGCATTTTGTGTGTATTTGTGCATACATATAAACACATTATCTTATATAAGAAAACAGGAGAGGGACATTAACTAAATTTCAAGATTCCAGAGTATTAGATGTCTATCAAATATTTAACATTATAATAAGCAAATGGATTTAGAAATGATTCAGAAACTTTCTGAAATAATTTTAATATTCAGATTAATCTCCAAGGTTCCAAAACAAATACTTGCCCTGGAAAAACAATACTCAGGCATTAGAAATTTTTTTGTGTTTTTGTTTGTATAAAAATCAGTGAAGTTCACTTGCAATCTCCTAAACTACTATTATGTTTGAAAATCTTTCTAGCTAGACCAAATTAAGAGCAGGCTTCTAAAACGAGGCTAAATATGCTGTAAATCAATTTATTTCCCCCTACAAATCTGCTAAAGTATGTATTTTCTGGTGAAAATGCCTCTTCAATGGTACTTAATACTGTCACTACATTGTTTCCCCAATCAGTCCACTCCAGTCTCTACTGAAGGTGCTGAATTGCAGTTAAATGCTTACTTTTGTCATCAATAACAAGCAATAGGAATACAGATTCTTTACCAGCATAAAGAACCTCAAAATGATCACACACACAACACATTCCTAAGATTAGAAGAAATGCTGGAATCATGTTGTATATGTGATATGAATTTTCTACCCACTCATGCATTTGTGATCATTTTAGAGTTAAGGACAACCTTTCTCAGCAACAGAAGTCTCATCTTCTACCAATATGCTCCACTAACTGGCATCATGTAGCGGCTCTGGAAAGGTGGCTTTGATAAAACCCTGAAATGAATATGATGCAGTGAAGTCTCTTTCACCTCCATCACTTACCATGTAGGATAGGAGACTAGTAATTCATTAATTACTTCTAGTATCTGAATTCTTAAAGGCAGACAAACTGATCCACACAATATTTAATCTCATTCCTTCAAAAATTCACACACAGTAACTGAGAAGATAGCTCAGTTGGCAAAGTGCTTGCTGTAGACCTGAATTCAATGTTGTTTTTTGGGTTTTTGTTTTTGTAAAGTCAGATGTGATGTGTGCTTATAATCCTAGCACTCGGGAAGTGGAGACAGGTGCACATGGACCTGAGGCTCTCTGGCCATCCAACCTAGCCTAATCACCAAGCCCCAGGCTAATGAGAGATCCTGTCTCAAAAAACAAGGTGGACTGTGCTAGGAACAATGACACCCAAGGTTGCCATTCGACCTCCACATGCACAGAGGCCTATATGCAGAGGTGTACCCACCCACATATGATCATGCACACACACACACACAAATTCACATACAAATAAGAGATTTTATTAAAGACTGCTCAAAGGTATAAACTACTAAATCAAGGAACTGAGCTTTCAAGTTTTAGGAAAGAGGTGGTGTTCATAGGACTGAATGCAGAATAAAGTATGTGCAGTGCATCTAAGACCATAACCTAACCTACTGTGTCTATACTGAATTTTTATTTGTAACTATTACTGTTCTTTCTAAGTATCCTTATTTAACCTTGGTTATAAACTTCACATAAATAAATAAAAAAAAGCATAATTCAGGAGGATAAGAGGGGGAACTAGTACAGTGCTCCCCCAGAAAGGGATCCTGAGTGAGGTGCATCCCCTTACTGTGTCTCAGTGCTGCTGAAAATTAAAGCATTAAGCTAGAGAGCATCACTCACTACTTTCCTTTGTGCTGTAAAAGCCTGCCATCTATTTAGGTACCACAGACAACTGAAGTTCCTGTAATATCCTAAGAGCACCTGACGGCAGCAGAAAATATGTTTAAGATGTCTAATGATACGAAAGAGAGGAAAGAGAAGGATCTAAACCGCCCTCCTATTTTGATTTTTCTGTTTACACTAAGCTTAAGAAGACCATTGAAATTAGATGCTTCATTTCATTCAAAACTAACCATTCTTATTACAATAAAAAATTCAAATTCTCTTAATAACATCCTAAAAAAGAAACAGCTTCACCTTTCTGAAATGAGAGTTAGTGGCTGTGCCTCATTGAAAGGGTTGCAGTGCTGGACTACAGTATGAGTATCACGATGTGCAAGCAGCTGTCACTGCTTTGTTTTTCATTCACAGTAGGTGGTTGCCAGGCAACAAAATACTATTGTCTGTTTCTGTGATCTATTGGCCAGTTCCACTGGTGATAATGCTTTCTACACTTTAAAACAGGGCCACCTTTTGGACAAGAAGACATGAACAAAAATTCTAAGGATGACAAGGATGTGTATATATATGTGTGTTTGTGTGTGTGTGTGTGTGTGTATATATATATGAACACACTGCGTGTACCCTAAAATTATGTATATAACTTATGCAGATAGAAATACACATTTTGTACATATACATATATTCTCATGTCATTATATATATTCTTTTCTAGTCTACAAACCCACCTAAATTTGGCAGGCCACAACCAGCATCCAAATCCATAAAGGCAAATCAGAGAAATGAAAAGTGTTCTCAACAACAGCAATGATTTCTCATTTTTCAGATGTATCAAACCCTGTTCCTTGAATATAACATCCTCCAGACAGAAGAGCGATTCTACCTACTTATATAAAAATAAGTAGAAAGGTTTTAACTATCTACTTTGGAATCATCTATTAAATATGTTGTTTCACTTAATATCATGTGCTACCAATGTGTTCAAAGATAATTCAAATAGTGTTGCTGTTTACACATAGGAATCTTACTTTTTATTCATCTTTAAACTAATTCAATGTTCTCCCCAGAAGAGCCTCATGTGATTTTACACTTTGATGTGATATGAGTCTCTGGGGAATTACAGTCATGCTATTTACACTTGCATATTTCACTAGCTTACAAATAACACATAGTGTACTTGGTATAAAGTTGTCAACATTAACTTGCATCGGTTGCTGCTTGCTTTGCATTGACGAGGTTTCTAAAGATAAGAATTACAATATTCTGAGGATGTACAGACACAATATCAAAACAGCCTGAAGGAATTAAAGCTTGAAAATGCTAGAGGCAATCATGCTTTGAAATGAAAGAGAAATCAAAGTCATTTTACATATTTCTGGAAAGCTTCTATATAATGTCAAAACAATCTTTGGATTTTACACAATGCTCATCCATCTTCTCTCACAGTATTTCAAAAACACTTTATTTAATGCATCCCTCCGGTGGGATGAAATTTATGGCTATTTGTAAATCTGCATATTACAAGAAACTAGAATAATCAATATCAATTATGTGGACAGACATTATTACTACAGTCTGCTATGAAAAGTGCAAAGCTAGCAAAACAAAAGCAAAGTGTCTTAATAACCAACTAAGTCCTGGCCAAAATTACCACTTTTCCAGACAGCTTTTTTCGGCACAACGCACCGGCCTCTCCTCAGCGCCCACAGGCTTCTCAACCTACAAAGGACCCACCACTTCTTTCTTCCTTGGCTTCATAAGCTTACTCACCTGGGTCTCCTCCATCCATCAGTTTCCTTTCCCTTTTCTCCACCCTTTCCGGATCCCTTAAACACCCTTCATTACTTTCTCCAAAGGACCAGACTCATACGCGCAGCCCACTTTGCTATGAACCTCTCTCCATGTGCACTTGTTCACAGCATTTTCCTACAGCTACTTTTAAAAATCGCTATCACAGAGCAAACACAATTTTAATAAAATTAGATTTTTTTTTTTAGTGTTATAGAAGTGAAAGACTGAAAAACGGCGAGGAAGGAGAAATATGGGGTCTGAAGGAAGCAGGGTGACCGCCCACTCTACACACTAGGATGCTGTGATTCTGTGGAGCTGGACTTCCCCACCTGTCGACCCCACTTCCCCCATGTGCTCGCTGCGGGATGACAACCACAACACTCCAGAACCACCCCCCTCTAAGGAGGCGGGGTTACGCCTTCAACCAATCAGGGCCCGCGATCCCCGGGTGTCCAACCTATGGGGTGGCCGTGGCGGTGCAGGGGGAGGACATGGGGTGGTCCGGGAGGGGCCGCGTCCGTGGGAGGCGCGCACATGTCCAAAGAGGCGGGGAACCTGCGGGCGTCCAGCTGCCGAGGCACCCGCTCGGTACCCGAGTCCAGATGCCCAGTATCTCCTAGGACTAGGCCAGGCAGGGCGATAGCCGCCGAGGAAGACCTGTCCAAGGTGTCCGGTTCCCCGCGAGAGGGGACAGACACAAATAACAATAGTACCTAGCGCAAACCAGACGAGGAGGAAAGTTTCCGGCCCGCACCAGACTGGAGACCGCCAAGGCGAAGAGATGGGATGCAGGGCAGGAGGGGCCTCTCTGGAAAGAAGGGGACAACGGGAGGGCTGTGCGGGCAGGACAGGGTCCCTCGTGCGGTGCCCCGGGCTTCGAGTGGCGGGGTGCGCTGTCCAAGGTGCAGGGGAGACGGTTGGCGCCTGGCGGGTGCGAAGCCCAGAGCCCACACTGGCTGGCGGGCAGCAAAAAGAATGGAGAACAGCTGTGCGGGGCGCCTGGTACCCACCCGGCTCCTAAAAGTGTAGGGTGTGGAGCTGGGGTGCGGCGGGAAGGGTGCAGGGGGCTCTCCGCACCGCTGCCTTCCAGCCTCACCTCCAGCTCCTCTCCCCTCCCCCTCGCCCACTCCCCTCCCTACGGGTCCCTGAGCCACGGCGAGGGCGGGACTGGGGAGCCCCGGTGGGTGGTGAACCCCGACGCCCCGGGAATGCTGCGGGCCGTGGAGCCGCTTACCTGGGGCCGTGGTGCGGGGATGTGAGGCAGCCCGCCGCGCGAAACCGGGCACCGGGTGCGGCGCCGCTCCTCGCCTAGCCGTCTCCTCCGATCGCGCTCCGGCCGGACTCTGTCCCGGGCTCGCAGCCACCAGACGCGGCCAGACTGCAGCCGCGGTTCGCGCCGCCGCCGCAGCCGCAGACAGAGGACGCCCCGTGGCGGCTGGAAGCCTGTGTGAGTAGCAGCGCCCGGGAGAGTGGGAGCTGCTCAGGGGCGCTGGAGACTCGGCGGCTGGGGCGCGCGGCCGTGCGCACGCGCGCCTGCGAGTGTGAGTGAGTGTGCGCGCGCGCGCCCCTGGGGTGGGGGAGTCGCGAGGGGAGGGGGAGCGAGGCCGAGAGATGCTCGTAGGGACCGAGGCAAAATTCGTCGCCCCCGGAAATCCGTAAAGCCCAGGAAGGCCGGGCCGCCCGCCTGGCCTGCAGGAGATGCCCGGCTGGTGGTGGCGACTGAGGGGATGGCGGCGTGGCGCGCCGGGGCTCCGGATCCGGCCGGCCTCAGGCCAGGAGCGTGCGGCCACCGATGCGGCACAAGTGGCGCCCGCAGCCCAGGATCGCGCCACCCCCTCGGGGGCCAGGCGGAGGCCACTCGCTAGTGCCACTGCCGCCGTTTGGATTTCTAGACTGGACATCGAGGGGACAGATTGAGGGACCCCGCGGTTGCCATGGCGACCTTGGAGGCGCCTGGCAGCCTGAAGGGCGGTGGCAGAATCCGGGCGCACGTGGAGGACTCCGGGTTGCCGGCGTGGGGTGCACCGCTCAGTCGAGCGCCAGTCTACGGTCCTGTCTGGGCAGAAGGCTTGGGCTGAAGGTTGTCTCGGCGGTGGTCGCAATCACGGGTGATTTTTTACTTTTTTTGTTCTCTTTGGAAGCCACTTTTCCTCAGTTATCCACATCCCATGCAAAAGTGCCGACCTGCCCTTTGTTAGGATTCTACTGTCCAGGCATACAAGAACTGCGTCTTTTAAAACAGGCTCATCCAAGAACTCTACACGTTTCGATCTTAGAAATTATAGTTAAATCCCATTTATTTCTCTTTTCTAAAAGATACATCGGCCTATCGGCATACTTTTCCATGCTAATTTCAAATTCTGAGTGGAATTTATTCGCCCAAGAATTTCTTCAAGGGGTGTAAGACTGTACAACAGTTGAAATGCTCTTCTTGGCAGGACTCCTCCAGACCCGGGATGTGTTTTGCATACTTTTGCATGCCTTCTAGTACTTGTACAGTACCACTGCACATTGTGTGTTCCCTATAAATGTTGAATGAATGACATTGTTTTCTAGCTTCACATATCCTGAAGGCAAAAACTTGGATGCTGGGAATGTCATTACCATCCCACTAGGCTTGCTTGATTTAAACTTCTGCCAGTTCCCTGTGTGAAGACTACTTTCCCCTCTGGTGGCCAGGGCCCTATTACAAAGAAAGAAAATAAAGAATACTGACCCACTGTGCAAATGTGCCAAAAGATTCACACAAAGAGCACTCAAAAAGGAATTCAGGAGTCTATCCTGGGTGAGAGAAGGTTAATGTCAGCTTCATTTTGGTGCCTGGGGAACATAACCTTTCAAAAGAAAGTCATCTAGTCATTGGGTATACACACTCCTTCCTGTAGTAAAGGAAAGGCGTTTTTAGGACCAATGCAGGTTTCTAAAAGCTGGTCAGGTGCAGGCTTTTCTCTTGTAAGAAGCACTTGTGTGGTGGAGCCTGGCCCATACATGCAGGGTCATCCCCCCGACTTCTAATTCTGCTGTAGCACCAGGCTCACTTACTCAATCTCAGTATTTCCACAATCATCTTCTTAGAAGCAGAAGTCCTCAATTTCACATTCCACGCTAAATTTCAGTCCCTTTGAACTTGGACTTTTCTATGAACAGCCTCTCTCTCTCCACTCATGCTATCACAGCTGTGAAGTGTAACTGAAATAAAGTGAAAATTAAAATGGATTGGTTTGAATGCTGCCAAGTCAATCCATTTTATGTTGTCTAGTAGGGGTCCCTTTCAATGATCTCTCCCCTGTCACTCCGTTTATGTCATCTTAGAAGACATTTGTTGTGATGTGGGAATTAAGTTTTTGTTAAGTGGAAAGCTTAGATGGCTGTACTGCTTTTTTTTCTGAACTTGTAGAACAGATATGCCAAAATGAATGTGAGTCAGAAGTCTTCCAAAATAATTTTCGATTATTTTCCTTAAATTTGCTTTCAGAGTTTCAATGCTTGCCTTACCTGTTGGAGGGGAAGAATGCTCTCAAGCTGTAACTTCTCCGTTCGCACCAAAGATACCCGGAAGATGACAATGTCTTAAAATAAGCATTAGGCACATAGCAATGACAATGGAAATGGAAATGATAAACAATGGAAATAAAGAAAAGTAAACTAAGACATCTAATATTCCCAATTGACTTAAGATAACATTTTGGAGGAGCAACTAGGACTAAAATGATTTCAACCCATAGATCTATATACTACTTACATGGTAGGTAATAATAAAATGTGTAGCTGAGAGATTTGTTTTTATAAATGATTACCAGTGGGATGAAGAAGCAATACCGTATTTCTAAAGGCCCTATTTTCTTCCTAAAAAGGAAATGATCCTTAATGTAATTTCTTTTTTTTTTTTTTTTTCAGTTTCTGACAGTGCCATAAAGTAAACATTAACTTCCTTAGAAGCATGGGCTTGTGAAGGGGTACAAGGTAAAGACAAACACTTTCAGCTGATTTGGTCATATCTAATTATTCTGGCAGTCTAAATAAGAAGGCAAAGCATTCTACCTCCAAAGACTGGAAGATTTAGGATGGGAGATGCATTATGAATTCCACAGTCAACTCCTCATGCTAGGAGCAGATTGCCCCAAATCCTTTAAAGTGAGAAGTCAGGAACTGTTAGCTGAAGTGCTGCTGTGGATTTTGGAAGTTATGAATGTGCATGAGGATACAGATAATTGCCCCCATAATTAAGTCCCAGATCATTTATTCCATTCTAGTTTTAAATGATAAAAAACACCTTGACCTGTATCTGGAATCAAAATGCCAACTCAGTACAGAATGAAGCCCTGAGCAAGGAATGGCCCCAAGTTCCCTTGTTTCTATTCATGCTATTAGCATTGATTTATTCCAGATACTTCCTAGGACAACTTAATTCTGATCATATGTTAGACATCTTTAAGAAAGTGAAAAGAGGAAGTATATAACTTTTTCCAAGCTGAAGTTATTAGTGAAAATATTGAGTGAGTGCAGTTGGGCACAGTAGACACCAGTCATTCTGATACTTTATGGGGTTACAGATTACCTGGAAGCTAACAAAAAGCTATGGATCCTCACCCTGGAAAATGAACACATGAATATGAAAATTTTTCCATGAAATTTCAAGGAGATAAGGGAACATTTTTTGAAGCTGAGGTTGAGACCCATGCTTAATACAGATTCTTTTGTATATTGACATTTTATGTATTTATTAGTGTCCTATTCTTAATTTATAATTATTTATCAATATGAAGATATATAAGCAGATCAGTAAACTAAACAAGTATTTACTGAGTCCCTACTACAGAATGCTGCACTTTACTCCCTGTTACCAATAAAAATGAAATTATTTACCTTTAAGAAGCCTGCAGTTTAGCTCTCATGTATTTTATTTTATTTTATGTGTATGAGTGTTTTGCCTGCATGTGTGTAAGTGTACCCATGTTATTAATGCCAGCAGAGGACAGAAGAACGTGTCAGATCCCCTGGAATTGGAGTTAAGGATGGTTGTTAGCCAGCATGTGGGTGCTGGGAATCGAACCTGAGTCCTCTGCAAGAACAACCAGTGCTCTTAACCACTGAGCCAGCTGTCCAGCCCCAGCTCTCATTATTCTTGAGAATAAAAAGTCTTATCACTTGCCTAGGAGCAACAAAAAAATCTTCTATTTGAATTATTCATAAGAATCAATGAATCTATTGATAAGTAGACCATTTGGGTGAGGACTGATTATTGACAGCCCACTATATACTCATATTTTCACATTCCAACCCCTTGTAGTAATGATTTAGCTTATCGCAAGTTATATGATACAAACAGAAGGTCTATTACTGCAATCTGAATTTGAGATTGGGCATGTGAAGAATGAACTATGCTAACAATGGCAGCTATGGATTACCTGGCTGTGAGGATCCCTGGGCAGAGTTGAATGGATTAGAATATGCTAGAGGTTATACTCAACCCATGGAAGAACTTGTAGGGTCACCATACATTTCTAAATCTATCTACAAAGATCCAGTAATCCATTTCTGGATAATTTTCATATAACATTTTATTATTACTGTCTTTAAGACTTGTTGCTTTTAGCCTATCCAGTTTCTTTTCACTTAACACAGAAATAGTTTTAGTTAATATCACATAAGTTTTCAGTGGTAGATAGCAACATTACAAGGATTCCTCTGCCACTCAGATAGGGTGACAACGACATAAAGTCAGTTACCTAATTAGAGATGTTGAAAGCCCAAGTTTTATATAATAATCTGCCTCCCAATAGGCCTCAGAGTTTTTGTGTGAGGAAGCAAGGACTGTCATTCATGCCATTTGGCTTCATCAAACATGGTCTTAGTGTGCCATAAGACTAGTACAAGATTCTCTATCATAAGATCTGAGTTAAAATCCCAGTCTAGCCCAGGCTTGCCCTGTGATCTTGGATGCCTCATTTAGTGAGCTTCAGTTGCTACATCTGTACAACATGGATAACAACATCCTCCTTCTTGGTTTAAGAAAACTGCATGAGGCAACATGAGATAAGTCCCCTGGCATTGTAGAATATTGGCTCCAAATCAAGTGTTTGGCAGAAAATTGGATCGAAGATCTGAATGAGAAGCTCCTATAGAAATTGTGGAAACTTCTGTGAGAGTGTAGCACTGAATTGGGTTGATGATTCCTGGGAATTCTTACAAAGGATATTTTAAGAAAACCATCACAACCAAAAGTTGGCAGAAAGTGACACATACAGGAAATTACAGATTCCATAATTCTGGAGGTGCTGTGATTCTATAAATTCTGTTACTATTGCATTTCTGTGCATTTGTTTTTAATTAGTTTTTTTTCCTGTTACACAGATTCTGCCTCCCTGATGATATTTTACCAGGTTAATTTAGCTATGCAAACATTCATTGTCAGACAATATCGATGTTAAAAATTTCATTAAAAAATAGTTCACTGTCCCCAAATGTGCTCATTGGCCATGGTTCATATTTTAATGTATACCTTTGCAGACATTTTTGTGTTTATATTTATTTTCTTTAAATGTCATGGAAGTATAAAGGGAGCCATTAAATGCCATCATTTTGGCCCCCCAAAAGTGATAACTAAAACATTTTCACAAAAGCTCAACAAATGTCTTCATTCATGCTCCTTTTCAAGATGAGCTTCTTAACAAGGCCTTGGAAACAGGATTTAACTGGTTATCCTTGAAACCTTCTCATTTTATTTCTCTACTTTCACCATTTATAAGGAGTCTTTTTTTTTTTTAATGGCCCTTTAAATGTTTAAGTCACCTTGTGCTGATGTGTTCTGGAGTCACAAGCCCTGCTCCTTGGCCTCTGGCCATTCTGTGGATGCTTTGCATTACTTAACCTCTGCCCCCAAAAGGAGGTCCAGCTCTAACCTTGGATTTGGCACTTCATTCCCTGATGGAGCAGAAAAGAGTCTTGATTTCAATCAGTAACCAGAGTGTTCACTGGAGTGACCATCTATTGGATCTACAGAAGGTTGGCCCAGGGGTGGTGAATTATTTGAATGCATGTTTTATGTCAATTGCTACAGGCAAAATGGGGAGGTGTGTCAAACAATCCTTAATGATTAAAGCCAAAGCAACTAAAATGCCAATAGAATTTCCTGCTTTCGCAGTCAATATGCTCCCTATTTTGCCTAGGAAGCTATGGTTACTAATGAAAAGTGCATGGAGGTTTATAGTATTATCTATTTGCTAGCTCTATAGATCACAAGAAATTCCTAAAGCAAAACACCTCAACACAGTCCATCCCATCTGTAGATCTAGAAGTCCAGGACTTCTGGGGTCTTTCTTATAATGAAAACTAGAGACCAATGGAAGAAAAGCGCAAAAACCAGCTGGGACTGTCTAAAGTAGCACACACTCTGTAGACTATGCACCCTGTACTGTAAATTGTGGAAGTTTTAAACCAGTCATTTGCCATCCGGAATTGCAATACATATAAAGAAAATAATAAGATAATAAAATATAAGGAGTGAAATGAGTTGTAACTTGGAAATTGTACATAAGACATAGAAATATGCATTGGAAAGTTTTGGTTGGTGCTAAATTGCAAAAGGAAAATCTAATAATTGATAGCTGGGCTATAGAATTAATTAAAGGAACTAGTCATATTTAGCATTTCAGTGAATTCCAGCAACTGGAAAGGGAGACTCTCCTCCTAGATTGCTTATCTGTATTCTTCCTATGCTAAATGCTCCAAGTTTATTTACATATGTCTATCTGGGGTGAAAAAAGTCTTAGACAGGGAGAGAAACTAAAGCCTTTATTGAGAAGGTTAAGTTTACAATCTGAACAGATTGGAGCAGAAACAAAATTCCTTAAACAGGGTGAAGCCAGTGATGCAAGTTTGTGGGCAATGAGGAGCCATGGGAAGCCCTTCCTGTGTGATACTTGGCTAGCATGAAGCCTGCAGATTCCACTATAAAAAAAAATCAGTCTTTAGTTAATATAATGAAACCATATTTGACTAGAATAATCAAAAATGAAAATAACCATTAAATTTTTAATTACTTTGGTGGCAGTTCAGCTAAAGTATATTGTATATCCGACAGCTTAATCTTCACAAATCAGAATAACCAGAATGAATATTTACATTTAACAGAAAGATAGGTAAGCATGAAAAAGGAAAAAAAGAGATT